GCAGTCCTCCTGCCTCAGCCTCCTGAGTAGCTAGGATTACAGGCATGGTGCCACTACACCCAGCTGTCTACTACTATTTTTTTTTTTTTTTTGGTACTGGGGATTGAACTCGAGACCTTGCGCTTGCGAGGCAAGCAATGTCTACTACTATTTTTTAAGATGAGGGGAAGAAGATGAAAATGAGTATCTGGGAAACCCTACCAGATTTAGACCTGCAAACCTAAGAATCCTGATTTACATTCAGTGCTTGGTCTTCTTAGAAAACAATACTATTTTTCTTTGTATATTTCAAGAACGGTGCTAGACTTAGGAGAATAAATTTTACTTTAAATTACTTTAATTTTTTTTCTCTGGAGAAGGTAAGAGGACATAAAAAGAATTCAGATGTGTTATGTACATGTACCAACTCCCCACAATGAATATAATCATTACTGCAAATATGTACTAATACAATTTTTTAAAAATAAAAATCTTCTCCCAAAAATCAATTTTGGTAAAGACTTATGTAGTCTACTGATAAATAATTTTTGTGTTTTTGGGGTTTTAGATAGACTTATTTGGAATTATTAATGATTGATTTTAGAGTTGTAGAAAAATTAGAAAAACACTAGAGTGTTTCTGTATATCTACATCTAGTTTCCTCTTCACAAGATCTTATATTAGTATGCTACATTTGCTGTAATTAACGAACTAGTACTGATGCATTATTACCAAGTAAAATCCTTAGTATATTCAAATTTCCATAGCCTGTATCTAATGCCCTTTTTTTGCCAGGATCCCTTCCAGGATACTGTTACATTTAGTGTTCTCTTTGTTGTGATGGTTTATTAGACTTCTTGTTTTGATGACCTTCCTAATTTTGATATTAAGTTTTAAAATGCTGTATAATCTTTTTTTTAAATACTGTATAATCTTGAAAAACAAAGGAGAGCATAGACAGTCTGACTTCCACACTTCCTGACATTCTGCCTACGGTTTACTGGTTAATTTATCACTTATGTGAAAATATAGTTCTAAAAGAAACTTTTCTGAGTAGACCAAAGGCTAAGTTCTGTACAAAAGGCTAAATTATGTTTGTTCATTAGGTCAGTCTTGATTATGTCAAAGAGTTAGGAAACCTGAAGTAGAGGGTTTGTCTCTTGTTAAAGAAATATCAGAACATTAAAAATATACACACACACACACACGCACTCACACTCACACATATATATATCAGGACAGATCAGACTGCTCAGTACCACCTGTCTTCAATCCTTCCCCTCAAGTGGATTGGATTGTTTTAGTCTCTTGGTTGGGCTGTTCACTAGCGGCTGTTTGCTGAATATTTTTAAGTCTTTCTGTTCTTTTAGAACACAAGCCTAATTTATCTGGCCTCTCAGTAACACTGATTACTAAGTTCTTATTACTGCCTTCTGCCCTTGAGGCTTTCCAAAAACATTTCAAAATATATTTTGAAAGTTGAGAATTTCAATTTCTAAGAGGAAGAGATGACCAAGTTCTCTGAAGATTTAGGTGCTCATTTTAGGTTGTAGAAACAATCTCAGTGCATCAGAATTTCCTATAAAGTCAATTATATATTTGTACCTATGTACATACATAGGTGCCTAGACTTCATTCCATTCTTTTTCTTTTTGGTACCAGGGATTGAGCTCGGGTCCTTGCGCTTGCGCAGCAGGCGGCGAAACCACTGAGCTAAATCCCCGGCCCTCATTCCATTCTTAAACAGGTCACAATCTTAGGAACTGGGTTCTGGTTCAACATATTTTGAACAATTACATCAAAACTTTACTGACAGCAGCAAAGGATGAGGATTGTTAGTTTAACTTACACTGAAATATAGATTTGATGATTGTACTTTTTTTTCTTTTTTTGTGGAGATTGAACTCAACACTTTTGCACTGAATTACATTTCAAGCCCTGAGACAGGGTCTTACTAAGTCACCCAGCCTAGGCTCAAACTTGAGATCCTCCTGCCTTACCCTCTCAGAGTGCTGGGATTCGGGCAAGCACCGTGCCCAGGTTGTATTATATTTTTGAATAAGAGAACATATTTGCCTCTTTTTATTATTATCTGTACTTTTCCTGCATACCATTTGTCACATGCAATTTATTACCTTTATCAGTCTAAGTGCAAGGACCATGTCTGTTTTGTTCATCATCACGTCACCTGAAAAGAGCCTGTCCCCTAGTAAGCCCACAAATAGAAGCAGCAAGAGGGCCAGGGATTTAGCTCCGTGGTTCTGCTGCCTGCCTGGCAAGTGCAAGGTCCTGAGTTCGATCCCCAGTACCAAAAAAAAGGAAAAAAAAAACTTTTTGGA